TTTTAAAATTTATGATACGATCAAATGAAATAATTATAGTTTTTAATTCCTAGAAGTCTAACAAATTATATATATATATTTCTTACTGGTCAATGAGAAAAATAATCGGTGGGGAAGAGAAGACTTTTCACATTAAAAAATATCAAACACAATTTTTAAAGCATTCAGTTGCATAAAACATGCCTATGAAAATATCCACATTCACATTCCTGTTATTAGAAACAGACAAGACAGATCATTCTCCCATAATGATCTGAAATTATCATTCTAAACACTATTAACTGTCATTTCATTGATACTTTTAAAAAAACATAGTAATAATATATTTCTACCCAGTGACTTTATGATTGGGTTGGTGGTTGGTTTTCCCAGATTCAGTGTTCTTTGTTCGGGTCTTGTCATTTCACACATTTCCAACTCAAGTTTCACAGTCTCAATTTTTAACATCTGAGCAAAAAAATAATTTTTTTCCAAGAACAACATTGTAACAAAAGATAACACAAATAAGGGTAATGAAAGACTGATGTGCCCCAAGCTCAGGACAAACCTATTCAAGGCCTCAATAGACTTGGGTGGGTCAGAGCACTCAAATCACCACTAAAGTTCAGCTTGTACCCTCCCCATTCATCACAGCCAGGAGTTACAACTGCCTGTGGACAAGGCGGAACACCATGAAGCAGACACCAAAACTCACCATAATTGTGGTTACAACCACTGTTCTGTTCTCGATAGCAGCTGTGTCGTTGCCCAGAGTGGGCATGTCCTGAATCAAGACTAATTTATCCATATCATTCCAGTAGCCAACCTGCAAAACAGAAAAATCACTTGAAAACTCACTTTTGCAGAGTTCACTCTTGTCTTCCTTGGAACAATGACTGAGACAAATGAGCATCCAGAATGAACGTAAAGTGCAAAGTTTTTAAAGACTATCTTTAAATTTGATATGATGGAGAGCCAGTTTTCTTGGTGTTAAAGATACTGTCTTCTCGTGTGTTTACGTAAATTTGCAATTCACAATTATGAAGTCCTGAAGGGAGGTGGTGGTTCTCATGTATGTTGATCTTCTTGTCCAAGATGGACTCACATTGCCGAAATTAACTTATACAACTTCATCAACATGACTACAATTCATAAGCTAAAAGCAACAGCCAGATTTCAAGCAAAAGAATTTTGTATTTGTAAACAGTAATCTAGAAAAAAATTTTGGCTTCATATAACGTAACCACTACATAACAATACTTTTTTTCAAATGCTAACGGCATCACAGATGTATTTTAACACACAATATTTTTGTTTTCAAATCTTACATTGTTATTTGTAGTTTGAATTTAAAAAAATCATACTATTTAGGTCTGGGAAGATAGCACATTGGGTAAGAGTGTTTGCTAAGCAAGTATGGAGACCTTGCTAAGCAAGTATGGAGACCTGAATTCAGATTTCCAGCACTCATACAAGAAGTCTGGCATGTCTGTGTATGTGCCTGCACCTCTAGTGCTGTGTGAATGGAGACAGGATGATTACTGAAACTTGGTGGCTGCCAGGCTAGCTCCAGATTTAGCAAGAGTCCCTGTCTCATGGGAATAAGGTGGAGTGTTGTAGAACAGAACAACTGGCCTCTACCATGTACACAGGCACTCACACCTGCACGCATATGTACACAAATATCATTTATTCTCATTTAGAAGTGAAACACTTTTACATAAAATAAATTAAGCAATTAGTATATTAAGAATTACTACTGCAATGGCATCTTACTGAAAATTTAGGATTTTTTTTGACTTTCTTCTACTATTAGAAAATAATAATGGCCACTACTCAGAATGATTGTTCTTGGGCACATCTATATGCAATGCTTATTTTTCTATGCATGTTAAAGTTAACACACAGTGCTGCAGAGTTTGTTGCTCTTAATACTCACATTTTCAATATGAATATCCCTTTTAGGAGGTTTAACACATTATATAAGATAGGCATCTAGTAAGATGGGATTTAAAGCTCAGGGCTATATGACACCAACTCCACACACTTTTACTGTGATGCTACATGGCTCCCCCAAATGAGTGCTCATTCATGTTGGCCAAACTTTCACTTTTTTTTTTGGTCTTTTTGAGACAGGGTCTCCCCGTAGCCCCAGGCATCTTGGAACTCACTATGTAGTCCAGGCTGGCCTTGAACTCACAAAGATCCTCCTCCCTCTGTGTCTGGAGTGCTGGGATTAAAGGTGTGCGCCACCATGCCCAGCTTAAACTTTCACTTTTTCATTGCATGATGATGTGGCTAAAGCTTGTGGTCCTAATAAAATATGTATGTCTGCTCACAGGTCTGCAGTCATTATGTGCCCTCCTGTGCTTTAGAAGGCCCTCCTCCTCCTCCAAGTGCCTTAACTTCCATGATAGTATTTAGGAACATATTCAAAGTAAGCTTTACCACATCAAGGAGAAACTGTTATTCAGAGGTGTTGCATACATAGCTCAAAAAGAATGGATAATGGAAAAGAATTTCCATGAGTAAAGCTTACTGTGAGTTTGAGTATATGTTATGGTACACATAAATTTAACAGCTGCTTTCAATGATCTACTACATCGATTTCTAGCAGGCATATACTAATTCTGTAAAAATTTTCATTTAAACAGGAATTTACACTTGAGACTTTCCTCTTTCTTCACTTCTGAAAGTGAGTGGCTTCTTGCTAATTCTCTTCCCCACATGACACGTGCATGGTAGGAGAGAGGATTGTCACAACTTAACTTTTGTTAACATGCAGCTACCCTGCAGATCACTGAAGCCCAATTTTCCAGCAAAAAGCATCTTTTCTTTATTACTGAATCCCCCTGGAAGAAGAATCACAGATCAAGACTCATCTCGGGACATCCAGAGTTATTGGTAAGACTCTGAAATCCTGCATAATGGTCCATCCCAAGAAGAAAAATGAGTCCGGAGTGCTGGAAAATTAATAAGTGAAATCTTATTTGCTTCATATCTACATGTAATTCTAGTGAAAAAGGATAGTCTACACTTTGTGATAATGGCCCGGTTCATGGTAGGCTTCATAAGGCAATGGACTTATGGGAAGCCAGACCATATAGAGCTCATTTCTTAAAGAAAGAAATGCTTAAGTTTGGACGTAGAATCCCACAGGAGGCAGAATTTCTCTTTCTATTCATTCCAGCATGTTGTGTTTTGCCAAGAACTTTTCTTTGCTTGACCTAATTTTTTTTCAAATAGGTAATTAGGAATGTTTTTCTAAAGATTGAAAGTAGATGGAAGTGGTTTTATAATGCTAGAGCAAAAAGTATGACCACATTTAAATCACTAAAATTGCAAGGGATGCCAGAAAAATATTGATCTTTGGATTCTCAAAGGTTGAAAGCTACCCAAATATAACCCGATTAAAATGTGTAGGTAAGGTGTCTATGTGGATGGTAAACTTGGCCTGCAACGTTAGGCTCGAGTTGGAGTTGGGTTTTTACCTATGACGAATCTCTGCTTCTGTTCTAAAGTTGGTTCTTTGGAACGCTGCTTTGAGTAAACCTGTCATGACAAATATAGTTCAATTCTCACACCAGCCCCAAATGCAGATCTTGCAGCAGCAGACTGTTGTTCTAGTCGTGAAGGGAGTGAGCTCTGTAGCCACTGGAAATCTCACTTCCTCTCCGCCCCACCTCTTTTCCGCTAACCTTCCTTGAACATGTTAACTTCATTTCTCTCAGTCTTACTTTTCTAGATACTGCGAAAAATGTATCTTATTTTCATGCTGCCACGAGGACTGAATGTAAAAGTGAGCATTGGTTTCCCATAACAGTACCTGGCATGTAACTTAATCTCGATAAATGAAAATTTGCAGTTATGATATCTGGAACAGGTGCAATTCTAGTCCTGAGCATTCTGGAGCTGTGGTATAATAAGCTGGTGATGATAAGAAGATTCCACTGTATTTAGGAACCGGGTTCAGGAAGAGCTTTGCGCCTTGGCTTAATGAGATGCTCAATCAAGTTTCTTGCTACAGAAGCAGTCAAACTGATGGGCTGCCTCCCTGATCTATGTTCAAAGACAGCTCTCTTACTGGCAAGTGTTCAATTTACAGGAAGGATTGCTCATTTTTCAGACACACCGCCTAGTCTCAACAGCACACTGCTTCTCATGGTAGCTCATTTTTAAGTTTAATATTCCTGACAGAGTGCCCCAGTTGATTACTGCCACAGGGAAAACGAAGACGGATGAATCTGCACCGTTTCATGCTTCATTTTTCTTTAAGGTCTTGGATGAATGTCAGCTGGATGTGAAGACACGTTGTTTGTCACTCTCCTAACTTATGCTTCAATGCTCTCCTTGAGAAACCTTAATTTTTGTTACCATTGTGGTTCAGTGGCTATGCAAAGGCTCAGTAGTATAATCAGTCCACTTGGTAGTAGCACTAGTTAGCACCTGTTTCCTCTTCCCACTCATTTGCTTTGCCACAGTTTTTTAAAATAGGAGATTGTCTTTTTGCGTTTTAAAAAACGTCTGCTTAAATGATGAACTTTGCAAGGTCTGTTGCATGGAGGGAAGGTGGCCTCTCTTCCCTCTGCCTACCCAGGAGCCAGTGTTTTTAGGGGCCTATGGAATATTTTGTCTGCTCTGGAGGAACTGGTAGTATGCCAGGGCAGTGGAGTCCCTGAGTTTCTTCTTGGGAAGCATGTCTCCTTCCTTTACTATGAGTGTCTCCTTCAAGGAGCCTGCCAGCGTGGCTCCCCAGCTGTCATCCAACTCTGCCCTCTCTGATCTGGATCAGACGTCTAGAGAGGAGATGCTACCATGAGGCCAACAAACTGGAGTTTCAGCTTCAAGTGACCTTTTTCTTTTAGATGCCCACATGCCTTCTCTTTAACTGTCATATATATGCACATCCCAGCTTACTCAAAAGCAAATGCTTTAGTCAGGGCGTGCTGTTGGAAAGTTCTAAAGCCAGATATATCTGAGGTGAAGATCTCTGGCTGGAGAGATGGCTCAGTGGTTAAGAGTGCTAGCTGTTCTTGCAGAGGACCAGTGTTAGGTTCCCAGCACCCTTATGGGGCAGCTCACAACCACATGGTAACTCCAGCCCCAGGGGATCTGATGTCTGCTTCTGGCCTCCATGGACACACATACACACAAACACACACACACACACACACAAATAAATCTTTAAAAAAATATTTGTTTTCTCACAAATTTAAATAACCATAGCTTATTGAGACAGGGTGTGGTGGCACACACCTTTAGTCCCAGCACTTGGAAGGCAAAGGCAGGTGACTCTCTGTGAGTTCATGGCCAGCCTTGTCTACATGACCAGTTCCAGGACAGCTGGGGCTACAGGGAGACCCTGTCTCAAAAAAGAAAGAAAAAAAAGGAATATACCACAACTATAGATTTTTTTAAATATAAAGATTAAGTTATCTAAGCACTGTGTCCAGTGCTCAGATATAGCAGGCATTACATAAATTATAGCCATTATTATTTTAAAACAGGAAGGCATGGGGGTTTAGAATGATTTTCTTTTAAACAGTGAAGTATTGAATAGTTTTTAGAGGCTAACCTGAACATCTCTCTCTCTTTTTACATTCTAGTTAATCCTACAGAAAAGGAAACCTAAAAGTCCTAGACACAATTCACTGTTTAATGCTTAGAACCAGTTATTGTTGTGGGGTTGTGTGACTCCCTTTGCATCATGTGACTTCTTCATAGCCTTGGTTCTGCACACACAGTCTGCACACTTTGCACAGTGAATGTCCTCATGCCATGAGACACCAATGCTGCCTGAAACAGCTTGGAGACTATCTTTATATGTTGTAAATTTGCTGATTTAACTGTACATACAAAGCTTTTGGATTCTAGAAAAACATGATGGCTTACTTATAGAAAACCAAGATGCCATCATTACACAGCTTGCAAATACTAAATTAGCATATCTTTGTACTGTGTTGTTAGAATGTTTTATTCATCTATTTATTTACTTACTTATGTTTTTGAGACCGGGTCTTATATAGCCCAGGATGGCTTCAAACTTGTTATGTAGCCAAGACTGACCTTGAACTCCTGATATTTCTTATTCTGTCTCTCAAGTGCTGGGATCATAGGCATGTGTTATCACACCTGGTTATTAGATAATTTGATTTTTAAAAAAATTCTGTTTGAGTTGCTGACTTGATTTTCACAAAAAGTTTGTTGGATGAATTTTGGTCTGTGAGTCAGAATTTCCAACAATTTCTAAAATGTCTCAAAATACACTCTGCTACCTTTGTACTGGGTGTTTATGTGACGTGATATTCTCAGCATTGTCTAGTACAAAACATTGATCAACTTGGAAAAATGCTGAGCAGCTTCATCTTTTCAGCTAAAATTTAACTCTTTATGTAAAAATAGGCAATCTACCTCATCAGCATGCCTAAATGACAAAATTATATGTATACCAAAGAACTGTTTCACTATGAATTTGTTTATTATTTATAAGCCGTAAATGTTTAATTTGCATGCCTACTATATACACCTATATATCTGGGGCCACATAAAAATTTCTCAGGTGAAAAGGAGTCATGAGAGGAAAAAGATTATAAGGTTATGATTGTAAAATGCTTTGAGAATGCTGGAAAGCCTGCTGACATGCCTGGTTGTATCCCAAGATCTAGAGACTCGTCTTTCCATGATGATTACTGTAATTGTCAGTTTGGCATGACCTTGACTCAGCTAGGTCAGAGTCTCAGTGAGAGACTGTCTAGATTAAGTTGGCCTGTGAGTATGTCTGTGGAGGATCATTCATTATTATATGTTACTATTATTATAATTAAGTAATTAAGTTAATCAATGTGGGAAGACCCAGCCCACTGTGGGCAGCACTATTCTGTAGGAAGGAGTCCTGAATGGCGTGAGTGGAGCAGTTGAGCTGGGCACAAGCAAGCCACATGCTGCATTTGTTTCTCTGTCTCTGCTGTGCATGTGATGGGTTCTGCTCCAGGTTTCCACCTCGGCTTCCCTTCAACAATGCACTGTAACCTGGGATCCTAAGCAGAATAAAAGCTTTCTCCTGTACGTTGCTTCTGTTGGGGTGTTTTTATCACCACAATAGAAAGGAAACTAGGACAATTTCCAAATAGAAGACTCTGAAACCAATGCCTTTCTGATCTGAGGTGTTTCTCGCCTTCCTCAGCCCAATAATCATCTTCTTTATCTAATCTTCCATCTGTCTTCTCCTTTGCTCATCTGAATTTGTCCATTGGATTACTTTAGGAAGTATCAATCTGTTTGAAACACACCCACTCATTAGCAGGAGGCCTCTGCGCTCTCTAACGATTCATAAATCATACACAGAGGAACTTATTTCTGTTTACTGCATTGTGTTCTTTTCTGTAGAGAAAATTTTGTTTTGTGGGTTTCTTTCACCGTATTACTCTCACCACGGAAACAGGCTACAATGATAAATTAGTAGTTTTGCTTTGACACATCATTAAATATTATGCAACAGAATTTATCTCAGTATAAACCATCAAGAAAATAGTAGTTGTCAGAAAGGAAAACTATTTAAATGGAAATTTAGACTATCAAGTTCTTTCTCCTGTGAGCCTTTAGGAACGTGGTACGCAGACCAAATAGAGTTCTTATTTTTCAGTTCCACCCTGGCTCACCTTTCGAGGTCCTGTACTTTTTAACTCAAACACATCCATTGTGTAATTGACTCTACGCCCATAGTGGTCAAACTGAACATTCCCAGTCAGCCCTTGAATTCGAACCTATGAAAGAAAGAAAAGAAAAGACATACACAGGTATGCACTTCCAGGTTCACATAAGGAAATCCCAACTCCAGCTGCTTGTACCGCACAAAACTGTGGAGTTACAGGCTAGGATCGACTCCCGAGAGGCGTGCCAAAGTAACGTCCAAGTAACTTTGCTGTGCACCTTGAAGAGAAATGTCTAATTTTTCATATCTTAAAGTTTCCATACTAACTAAGAATTCTTTTTCAATACTGAAATATTCTTTTACATAATTTGCTTACAGCCAATCTTCAGTTCTTGGTATATAGCCATGTCTACATAGCCACATCATAGATTAGATAATTATGATTCCTATGCCACATCATATTCCCCTTGATAATATTAAAACTAAGATGTAAGAAACTAAAATGTATTTTTGAAAATATTCAAGCACATTAGGTTCCAATTTTCCTTTTGATACATTTTTATTTAACTTTTGCTTTGAACCTATCACATTTCAAAATTGTTAAATAATAATATTTGTACATAAATAATATCTTCATTAGTTATTTTAAAAACATAGTTTTTGTAGGTATAAAAAATTAAAATAAATAAATCACTAGATTCAAAGTTAAAAAGCAACTTGAAGAAGCACCGATGTACTTAGCTCCACCAAACATTTCTTCTCTCGGAAGGTCAGCTTATGCTTCCCAAGATTCTTGTGCCTACTGAGGCTATGTGATTTTTTTTCTGGTGTATAAGTGGTAAGCAGATTTGATGAGTGTCATTACTAAAACACAGCATTTAATTGCTGGCTCAAAAGTTCCCCACAATAATCTCTCAATTCAACATGGCAGCTGCTCTCCTGGGCCAGGGTCTTGAATACTTTTATGGAGCAGAGGGCTCTTGCTAACTAAATGAATCTACATGGAGCTCTTTCACTGTTTTAAACCTTCGGGATTTGTGGTTATGTCTGCATCATAACGCTACTTATTCTGACTATGCATGTACATAAGGAATAAATATTAGAATTCTATCAAAAAATATCTCAACATTAGTGAAGTCTTGATAGATTAGGATGGAAATTCCAATAAAATTTTATGCTCAGATGAATTAGTCTGTTTTCTTAAACACCCTACTTAAGAAAGTTCATGAAATAAAGCAAAAAGTGAGTTACCTGCTTGAGTGTTCTCTCCATGTCGATTCCCTGGCCCCAGGGAGCAGCAGGGTTTGCCAGACAATCCCCAGCATTTCCTCTCCGTGAAATATCAATTTTCTGTCTTCTGAGACTTCGGAAAGTTTCGGCCATCACCAGGACGCCATCATAAGTCAGAGCAGAGGTGTACTGAGGGGAAGAAAGCGTGTGTAACAGCAACTACTGAAACCTGTCTAGCACAAGGAACAGTCTGGGTTGTCTGGGCGTATGACAACAGCTCCGTCCCTTTTCACAGGCCAGTAAAGGCCTGATAATCATTTGATGCTGGCTTCAGACATGTCGGTTTTGTTTGAACACAAAGAAATGATGCCGAATCTTAATGTCCTAATTTTTACAAGGAGAAAATCCACTCTGAAAATAAAGGTTCTAAGGAACGATCTCCAACAGCTGGATAAGAAAGGCCTCAGGTGAAGACTTTCTGTTGTGATTCAATGTAAACAGCTAGAAGATCAGATAATGTATACAGCATTGCCTCACTCTGCACTGCAGCCCTTCATGAAGGCTTAGGTCCAGGAGGACTGGGCTGTCTGGTTCTTTGCTTCTCCCAAATTCCTAGCAGCATTCTCTGAGATTTGATTTATATTTATTGACTTGGAATGTCTATCTTTGTTCAGCTTCCCAGAGGAATTGTTTATTGTTATAAAAAAATAAGCCAGAAGTAACATCTATTTATTCAATGTCAGCAGTGTGCGCCTGTCACAGTTGTAAGGAGACTATTGTTATACTCAGTGAGTGTGCTTGGGAGGGTTAAGCATTGTCTAATGCTTCCAACAAAACCTAGGATCGATGTGGAAATATGAAGCAGAGACCGTCTGCTTTCTGATGGTTATCCATGTTTCTCTTTGGGAAAAGAGTGAGCTCTCGGGAAAGATTATTACAGTAAAACAGAAGGAGAGGCCACATGGGACTGGAGTAATGGATTAGTGGTTAAGAGCACTGGCTTGTAGAGGACCTGGGTGAGATTCCTAGCACCCACACCATCTGTAAATCCAGTTCCAGGGAATTTGATGCCCTCTTCTGACTTCCCTTGGCATTACATGACACTAGTGTACTTATATACATGTAGGCAATACACTCATATACATAATAATAAAAAATTTAAATAGTTCTCAATCTAGTGCTGACCTTGCTGGGTGAGGGACAGTTCGACTTACATATGACCACTGGATAGGCTGACTAGACTCCAGTGGACACATTTACACTGAAGGACATTTGGGTACAAACATCTGAATGAATAGGGTTCACCATATATGGCAGAGTACATAGGGTTCAGTGGGGGAGGGGCATGGATGGGGGAGGGGAATCTGGATGTGAGTGGGAAATATTGTATGAAAATTTAAAAGCCCAATAAAAAAAGAAAAAAGTGGAAAAAAAGGCCAAATGAAAATATGGTCTGGGGACAACTTTGGTGGAGTTTGATTAGAGAATGACTAAGCATATGGGTGAAAGGACATGACCTTCAAGCATGTAAGATCATCAACTACATCTACTTGTGACAAAAACTTTGTCTGCTTCCGGAATTTTATGTGATTATCACTGTCTATACCTGTGTCAGGGGTAGATTTGTGCTGGGTAAAGTAGAGGACGATCCTCTTGGTTTTCTGCCTGAAAATGAAGAAACCCATTTGAAATTTGAAATGGGGAAAGTAAACTTAGGAAATATCTTTAGAGAAAACAGCTTGAATTTCAGGGAAGAGGAAAACTAAAATATAGATGTATCAAGAAATACTATATAAATTCTAAGAAAGCACTTTTTACTAGTAAAAGAACTGACTCTGAAGCTTGTATTAGAAGACTTTATGAATCATGTAAATTAAGAGATTCACCAGGATATATTAAAACAGATTTAAGAAAAGGCACATCCCTTAGTCGTTAGAATGAAACAGCCAAAGGAAAACAAGCATTCACTAAAAATGAATATATCTTCTCTCTTGCTTGACCCAACATGTCTGTGTAGAGAAAGCCTTCAAATTATCATTCACTAAGGCAGGAAAATAAGAAGGAGAAATAAAAACTTTTCTCAAGAGAAATTTGCTAAAGACACAAAGGCCAAGGGAAAAAAAATGCAGTGCTAGCATTCCGGGATCAAGGGACGAGAAGCAAAACTTGTTTTTTTTTTTTTTTTAGGGGAAAGAAGCTGGGTAAAGACGGCACCAAACAAACCAAATGCACTTGCTGTGCTGTAAAATGTCTATCCATCTGTGTGGAGGAAAAGGCATTACACAGCGGGGTACAGAGCACTTGAAGGCATCCAGCTGGAGAAGCAAAGGCCTGGAATTTGACAGGTCAGAGAGCTAATGGGAGCTGCAATTTACACCGGCTTTACCTTGACAGAGTCTGCAATTCTTTTTCATGTGTCCGATTGTGTTACAGTCCAGGAAACTTTATTTATGGGCAACTAACTACTAGAAAATGCTTATTAAATAAGGGTTTCACTTGCGGGCAGGGTTAAAAATGGATCTCAGCCTAATTAGAGTTATTCACTGGCCTGCCCAATGATCAGAATGGGGGAAGGAGCTCTGTTTCTCAAGGTTTGTAGATACAGATAACAGACAACAGACACGGACATAATTCTTGTGCAGTAGATGGAGCTGGGGCTTGGAGGTGTGAGGGCTAATCTTGGTTTTCAACTTGACACGTTTGCAAAGAGGGAACCTTAATTGAGGAATTTCCTCCATCAGATTGGTCTGTGGGGCATTTTCTTGTTTGCTAATTAATGTAGGCAGGACCAGCTCACGGTGGGTGGTGCCCTCCCAGGTGGTCCTGGGTTATATAAGAAAGCTGGCTGAGCAGGAGCAGCAAAGCAAGCCAGGGAGCAGCATTCCTCCACCATCTCTGCTTTCTTTCCTGCTTCCAGATTCTCCTTCACTGAGTTCATACCTTGGCTCCCTCCATGATGGACTGTAATCTGTAAGCCAAATAAACCCTTCCCTCCCCTAAGATGCTATTGTTCATGGTGTTTATCACAGCATCAGAAAACAAACTAGAACCAAAAGTGAAGAACTGAGATAAAGTCTAGTTCTCCTACTCAGGCTTATAGGAGTGTGGGAGATAAAAATTATGGAATATAAAACACACAAAATAAAAAAGAAAACTACTGTGGTTGTTGCGAGGATGATGTTTTATACAATACCTGAGAGCTGTTTTTTGTAAAACAGACACTGGCTAGGAACTGTGAGGAACTCTGAGGTAATTAGTGGATGGTCACTGCCCCACAGCTGTTTACAGGTATGAAGGGGGAAGTCTATGAGGCATTATGTTAATCCTTCCTGAGAATTACAGTATCTAACATCATGGAGAGTATAAGGGAAATAGGTGCCTATTTATGAGAGGATTAAAAGTTTCACCAAGAAAGTTGAATTTGAGAGTCTGGAGAAGATGGCTAAGAGCACTTGCTTCTCTGGCAGAAAACCAGAGTTCCATTCCCAGCACCCACAGGGTGGTTTACAACCTTCTGTAACTCCAGTTCCAGGGCATCTGATGCTCTCTTCTGGCCTCTACTGGCACTGCATGCATGTGGTACACATGCATGCATGGAGGCAACCAATCACATATGTAAAAAGAAACCAGTAAACAAATCTTTAAGAAAGTGAAACTTGAGATCAACTTTGGAAGAAAGTTGGATATGGACAGGTGGAGTTGAAGGTGGAGGACTATGGAGGAGGCAGCTGGGACTTGGCAAGTGACCAAGTGTGGAACAGTTCTATTTAGCTGGAGCATCAGAAAAGGAGCAGAAGATTGTGAAATTAGGGCAGCCTGTATCATGGAGGACCTTTGGTTCCAGATTCATTATTATTATTTCTTTTAAAGCAAGGAATTGACAAGATTGGAAATCCTGTTTTGACTCTTGGTTGAAATGTAAACCAACTGAAATACGATTTAGTTACTTATAACCAACATGTGTTATTTATGGACTCTGTGTTTTTGAACTTACTCATTAAAATTTATTTGCTGCTCTTGCAAAGGATCTGGGTTCAATTCTCAGCCTACATGGTGGCTAACAACCATCCTTAACTTCAGTTCCAGGGGATCTGACGCTCTCTTCTGACCTCTACAAGCACTGCACAACATGGGTGCATATGTATGTATATATATATATATATATATATATATATGAAATATTTGAGTCACCAAAATGCAAAGTTCCAGCTGTAGCTAAATAAGGAAACATCTGTCTTGTTTCTGCTGTCCTATTGTAAACAAGCGTGTTTTTATGGTCTATTTTTGTGGTCTATTTTTTGTGCTGTTTTGATCAATTTTGAGCCCCTTCATTGATTATTGTACTGTTTAAAATGGCCTGAAAACATACCGTTGTAGTCTAGCGGACTTAAGTGTCAGAAAGTACCGATGTTTCTTTCTGAGAAACAATTCATATTGAGTAAAATTCCTTTGTGCATTCGCTGTCAAACTGTTGGCCACGAGGTCAATGTTAAGAAACCAAAAATATACAAAGTAAAACACATAACACAGGATTAGGCATTGATTAGTTGACAGAGGTTGTAACTAGAGGCTTGCAGAACAGAATCCTTTGTTTCTTCTAAGGGCAATGGTTTCATATTTGATCATGTATTGCTTCTAGAGATATTATAGAACATAACTACCACTGATGATGAAAATCAATTGTATATGTCTATTGGATGGATTCTGTGTGCCTACAATCATGCTCAGAGCTACAAAAACTTTACATGTGGCCTGATTTCTATTACAGGGTGTTATAAAGCTGTACTTATGAAATGCTTGCAAAAGTGACTTAAATCTAAGAAGATATATCAGTGAGGCAGGATTATCAACAAGACATCCCACAAAGCATTTCATGCATTTTAAAATAACAACACGAAGATATAGATCAGAGAATCTGGTTGGAGATTATCAAATAAATGACATTAAAATGAGTGTATCTTGGGTACTCCTTACACCTGGTATTTGACACAGGCAGCCAAGTACCATATTCACTTAGTATCTTGCATGCATTAAAATTTCAAATACAGGGTAGAGACAGAGTGCTTACTTAGCATATAGCAGACACCCAATAAATATTTTGCTTTGAAATTACTTGATTCTCTAGGGTAACCAATTCTGACACTGCACAGGGGAAATCAACATAGTCAATTAAAACAAATAACCTTACAGTTAGGAAAGGGAATAGCTGAGACTGTACTCCTAGACCTTAGTTTTCCTACACTTGAATTTCAAAATTAGATGTTAAAACTGCTGAAATGCACAGTCAACGAGAGAGTAGACTGCGAAGTTTCATTATCCGGTGCTTACAACCCCAACCCGTAGTGGAAACACCCAACCATCGCGTGCGCGTCTATGAGTACCACCCATCTTTTCCAATGAGGGAAAATGCACTTGAGTAGGCATTAGCAACTTCCTCTGAAGATACTTGGCTGTGTTCCTTAAGAAATCAGGTGACGGTCTCTGTTGAGAAGCTGACACCTATGTCTTATGTATTTTCTAAGTACGTCTTTCCCATCCTTCATGGCTGCCCTTTAATTTACCTCAAAATTTTATTTTTTTTTGTAAACTACAACTTTGACTCAAAGGAAAAAAAAACAAAGAACCCAATAGTTTTCATTTCTATTATTTTTCTAATACCTACTTACTATAAACCATACTGCAGATATGGGTTTTATGTGGGTGGAAAAATTAATAATGGCTGTTTGCATTTAAAAGTTAACAATTTTTTCAAGGTGGTGCATTCAGAAGGTAGTAAGAGCAAATGGCTTCAGTTGATCTAACAATCATGCTGTTAAGTCTGGCGTCAGATCCCCTGGAACTGGAGTTTGGATGATTGTTAGTCCCCATGTGGGTGCTGGGATTTTTTTTTTTTTTTTTTTTTTTTGGTCTTTTTGAGACAGGGGCTCTCTGTAGCCCCAGCTGGCCTCAAGAGCAGTCAGTGCTCTTATCTGCCAAGCCATCTCTTCAGTCCAACCTTGTCTTTTGAGACTAAATCCTGGCAACTCAATGATTAGCTAGACTTCCTGGGCAGTGAGCCCCTGGGATCTATCATCTTCACTCGCCAGAATTGGGATTACAGGAGCACAAGGTTTAAAACAAAATTTATTTAGAGAGGTCTCCCTGTAGCCTCAGCTGGCCTGGCCTGGAACTTGCTATGTAGATCAGGCCAGCCTCGATCTCACAGAGATCCACCTGCCTCTGCTCCTAGAGTGCTGGGATTAAAAGCTTGTGCCACCATGCCTAGCTGCAAGTAGTTTTTTTTTTTTTTCTTTTAATGTGAGTGGTGGGGAATCTTAATTCAGGTCCTCATGCTTTTACAACAAGCACTTTATCCACTGAAACTTATCTCCCCAGATCCCCTTATTAAAAATTATTCAATGCTTTTGCAGAGCAGAGACAGTGAGACAATACCACAATATATCTGAAAGAAGTATGGAATAAGTCTTAAATGAAAAACATGAAAAATATGTCAGATGAAGCAAATACCTTCGGAGGAGTCTCAGATCCTGGGTATTCTCTCTGATCTAGTTTCTTCCAGCGATCCATTAGTTTGGTTACTATAGGTGTATTAAAATCTACCAACTGGAATCCAGTGACATTGGCTCCACCATGAATAAATCTCTCAAGAGAAATGTCCTTAAAACCCTGTAAGAATTAGTAGAAAATGTCATCAAAGTTAGTTCATTTCACATTTTGGCTCTTCAGCAGTTATCTAGATTAATGGAGATTTTCTTCCGAGTCCACATATGCACTCTGTTGTTGATCTAAGAAGAAATTCATTGGTCGGTTGGCAGCTGGGCAAAATGGTTGGTAAGAGATGCAGATATGTGAGCTTAAAGGGTAATAGTATAGTTGGTCTGACTACATACCAGGTGCTGTATGTACTGAGCACATTGCACAGTTAGTCTAACTTAATCAGGGTAAATGGAATTACTGATTTTAAGTCAAGAAGGCTGAGGCTCAATGGTGTAGAGCAAAACATGTTCAAGGTCACCTTGAGAACATACCATAGAGCCACATTCCATCCAGGTAAATGTTTGAATTCACCTTTTCTACCGTGCAATCATCCATATTCTTACACAAAGGGGTGTTTTTAATTTTGTTATCATGTCACCAGGAGGGTCAAGGTGAAGCTACATAAAGGAACCCAGGCTTTGACCCCCACCTCTGTTGTTTTAGATTACCTCCCTGCAAAGTGCGATGATAATACTCCAGCATCTAGAGCATTGGCTTTGCATTCAGTAATTGAGTGTGTTTATTAATGAATTCACTTAACAAATATTTATTTCAGGCCCATTATGTGCCAGCTAATTTGACAGCTCATCAGTAACATTCTCATTTCATTGAGAAATAAACCAGACACAAGAAAGTAAATCTACATTTTAGAAAAGGGAAAAACATTGTCTATCAATCTCTAGCTACTAAAATGTCAGCAGAACATTTGTTAGCTTTTACCAGGGTGTAGGGTGGACCCATAGGCAGGCAAATCATTTATCTGTTTTCTAAAAGCCACGGTAATTCAACTCCTGCATTAGCTGCTAATTGAAGACATTACTATTTTCTATCAGCCAAAGCTGAAATAAATAGAAGGTCGGCCAAGCCTTCTTTGTAGCCTTAACCGCAGGTGTAAGACATGGACAGAACAGCAGCCTTCAGAAACATCATTTGATGTGAAGTCTAACAAATAAAAACTCACATTTCTCTAATTTCATGCTATGCACACCGAAGGTAAAGTGAAAGATGTTACCATGTCCTATTATTACTATTTTCTTTCAGCTTTCTTACGGTTTGAATGAATGGTGGGCAGCTCAGTAAATTTTAGCTATGTCTGTTTTAGTTCAGGTAGTATTCCCTTTTCACATATTTTCTTATGATTTTATGTAGAAAACTGATAGGATCTAGACTGAACCAGTTTCCTGGCAACAGTTACCTTGGTGGCCATTTAGTTTCTGTTTGATTTACAGAGAATCATGGAACTGGAGGGTCTGGGGCCACACTGTAATAAAGTCAGTATTCCCCACTTACGGAGAAATCAGTGGTTAGCTATCAAAGAAAAATAATGTCCCTGAGGGCAGAGGTGAGTCAGGAGTGCTCTTCTGCCTGTGCAAGAAGAAGTGGCCTCCTAAGTCATCTGCACTTCATGGTGGGTAATGATTGTTCCAGATGAACCCCTGACTTGATATCCCTTTTAATTTCCATTTGTGGGTCACAGATCCTCTGGTAGGAAAATGTTTAAATATTTAAGTGACTGCTATCCTGATGCTAATGTATGTCAGTCTATAGGTTTCTTACATTATCCATGTTTAATAAAGGCTCATCTTTTATGTTTTTATCTGATTCATATTAATATTTCTGCTGTGTTTCGAAGACCAAGTCATGTCAAGGTAGCTCTAACAGAGTCATCAGAAAGAGCTTCAGACAGAGTGAGGAAAATCCTCCCTATCATCTTTTAGAAATGACTGTGTGATGAAATAAACTTCAAGTAGCCACTTTTAGTGCAAAATAGTTGAAACAGGAAGCCCAGAAGGAGAACTAAGACAGTATTTTCAAGTTGGTAGAATCTTAACTGGGGTCACTGCAATTTAATGAAACATGGAAAATTTGATGAAGTGTATCTAGTTCCCATTTGAGTTAAATACCTAAATGTGGATGAATCACTTTTCTATACGTATCATTTCTTTGTCTTTGATTGAAGTATGAAAGGTATCTGTATGTGATGTGATGTGGTGTGTGTGTGTGTGTGCACGTGTGTGTGTGTGCGTGTGTGTGTGTGTGTGTGTGGCGTGAAGTGATGAGTGTATTCAGTTAGTCTTTAGTTATATATCATGAATATATTATAATTTCATACTTTTTTGTGATAGATCCAGGTGTATTCCTAGATATAAATAATATACTTAAAATTTTTAAGAAATCTGCTGGGCATGGTGGCTCACACCTTTAATCCCAGCACTCAGGAGGCAGAGGCAGGTATGGATCTCTGTGAGATCGAGGCCAGCCTGGTCTGCATAGTAAGTTCCACACCATCTGGGGCTACAGGGAGATCCTGTCTCAAAAAAACAAAATCAAACAAAAAAGTTTAAATCTAAGGAGAACATGATTCTGACTTTGTTCCAAGAGTCTTGCATAGCTAATGGAGAAATGTTTAAATTATGCAACTGCTGAAGGAGGAGTGAACGTAAAAACAGAACAGCGAGTCTCCTCGAGTGCGCACATGTGCTCAAATGAATGACCACTTTGTGGCACTGTTTCCCGTGTATGTTATTTATTTGCTTGCAAGTTTATTTATTCTTTGCAATCAGACAAGCCACTGCTTCAAACTTGGCTTTGAGATTTAATGGTCTGCGTGAGGTTGGGTAAATTACATTGAACTTTATTTTCCAGTCTATAAAATAAACATCTATTTTAAAGGGCTAATTAAAATAATTACAGTAAGAGAACAAGCACAATAACCGGAGCTGGGTGCTACAGGATAAGCAGATGCTCGATGGACATAAAGGAAAGAAAAAGAGCCATTTCATATGGTAAGAAGGAGCCAAGAAGGAAATTGCTGTGTGCTCAGGCCTTATTTGCAGCTATAACAGAGTGCTTTGGACTCTTTCTGGTATGGAGTAGATTTAAAACAACAATTTGAAGAATGAACAAAAAAAAGAAAAAAAGGTTTCATAGTGTTAGGACACAAAGTTATTTGTGAGCCCAGAAGACAATGCAAGTAGGCACTTAAAGAGAACTTTCTAGAAGAAATGACTGTACTTCCTAAGATTGAGTGGGATAAATGCCTTTGACTGAAGGTAACAGCCTAAGTCAGAGCTGCAAGGGCAAAGCAGCATTAGGTGTGTGCGAGTTCTGGTTTGGAGGAGTAGCACATGACATGGGTGGGGAAAGAGATGCTGGGTCAGTAGGGGTAAAATCTCCATTAAGTTAAACAGTATAGAGTGAGTTCTAGAGGATTTAAATAGAGCAGTGCTGACTTTTGATTTCCTACTCTTGTAAAAAAAAAAAAACACACATTAAAACAAACAAAGAAACAAAAAACTGGGGCACTGACTCAGAGTTGGGACAGGATGTCATTTGGGGAGAAATGCCAGAGCTGTGGAGAGACTTCTCAGATAGGGCTGCAGAAGACATGAAGGGACAGATCTTGAAGAGGGATGCTTTCCACTGCCGTCATAGCCTGGGGCAAACGAAAACATATGAGCAGGGAAATGGTAGAACCATGCCTGTCTTTAAAACCATAACTGGCAGCAAAGTTGAGAAAAGAATTGAGAAAGGGAGTCCAGGGACAGAGTAGGAGAGCAATTTTCTTACTTATGTCTCTGAGGAAACAGATTACAGCGAACCAACACACACAATACACTACTGTGTCTCAGTGTTAGAGAGTTCTAGGACAATACTCAATTATTGAGAAACAGTTTGCTTTCAACAGTACTTCTAGGTAATTGATGTGTCTAAATAAACACAGATGTGCTCTTCCAATCACACATAAAACATAGGAAAGAAAAAGATTTCAGCATTTTCCAACTTCTTATAAATTCATTCATCCTTTTAAAAATATTCGATTTTTATTTTATTTTTATGTGCATGAGTATATTGCCTGTACATATGTAAGTGCACCTGTGTCGTGCAGTGCTCACAGAGGTCAGAAGAGGGCATCAGATCCCCTGGAACTGGAGTTACAGAGAGCTGTGAGCCACCATGTGGGTGCTGGTTCACTGGAGCCTGTTGAACCTATTTAACATCACTCCCTTAAAGAAGATCAACTTTCCCTCACCCAGCAGTGATCAACTGCAATAGTTCCTCAGCTAAGGCTGGGGCCTCCTGCCCATTACCCCAGTTCTTTGCTGGTTTTTATCTGATTGAGTTTGCATGGATCTTATACATGCTATCACCATTGCTGTAAGTTTCATAAGGAAACTGAGTCTTATGAAATTCTTCTATGCAAGCTCTCCCTTCTCAATCTGGATACCTTCATTTCCTTTTTTCCTAATTACCCTTGAAAAGATCTTTAGGACAAGCAGTGTGATGGCACATCCCTATTGCAGTTCTGTTTTCTATTTTTTAAGACAGGGCCCGCTCTAGACCAGGCTGTCCTTGATGTATAGTCTATGATGACCTTCAATTTCTCCTCCTGCCTTAAGTCATATTTATGTAGCTCTGAGGATTTAACCTGGGGCTCTGTGCATTCTACTGACTGAGCTACATCCTCAGTCCTCTTTTTTCTAATTTCAGTGAAATTAGTCTTTAACATAAAGGATTCCCAGATGCAAATCAATCTAGAATCAAAATGAAAACATATATTAACATTACAATTTAATGTTAGACTATGTGCAAGTCTTTGGTCTAATAAGGATAAAAGCTTGCTTGTTTTTAGTGGGTATAATGATTTTACTCCAAGAAGGTGTCTCTGTCTTTCCATTTCATATATTGGTGCTTAAAGTAGCTGCCACGCTGCCACCCACAAGAGTTGTTTAAGACAGGCTTATGAGATCCATTAGAGAGCTATAAATATTAATTCTTTCCATTTTGTATTGTTTTATTTATTCTAACTGACACTGCCAGAAACTCATTTCTGGAATGATAGTTTATAACATACTGATTTTTCCCCTCTGAATTCTATTGTTTTAGAAGAATGAATGCCAAAACCAACCATTTACAGTAAATTAATTAGAATCTCGTTATATAATGCCAGTCTGAATAGAGATATCCTCTAACTATAGGCCTTTCTGTTACAGTGATTAAGAATAAAATATGTTTGCTTAAATAACTATTTGTATTTTTACAAGAATAATAAGACAACACATAAATCATGAGCTGACTGAAGTATTGGAAAAGATGAGTTAAATTTTCCTGATATTTCCATGACAATTCATTGTGTTGCAAATTTTACTTTACTGAAGAAACACTATGATAGTGGTTTATAGTCTCTGTAGTCTGCTGTCTCAGCTTGGCACTGGGATCCAGTTCACCAAAGGCTGGACATTTTTGTCTAAACATGATGGTGCCCTCACCATGTAAAAGAGCGATAGATCAGAATCTATCCTCTATCCTTTAGCTCTTTTCATGCTTCAAGTGTAAGATGCTCATCAAAGAAACGTGATGGGAAATGATAGAAAGACAGGAAGGCATTCTTGACTCCCCTGGGATTAGCCACTGTGGGGATCAAGGTCTAAGAGCAAATGGCCCTGTATCAAAAAAGGAGGCGGTGATGTTCTACAGTCACTTTCTGCAAGCTGGTTGGTTAACCAGAACTATTCAGTGAGCCTTGTCTGGGACTCTCCATCAACTGGTCTTGGGCCTGTAGGCATTTCACTGATGTGCACACACCTTGTTTATTACCCATCCCTATGTAAGTTGAAAAACTGATATAGTTAAAAATATTTTATTATATTCCCTTTCAAAAGATTTGCTTATAAAGCCATTATTGGAGAATATAAACTATCAATCTATATAATTCTCAGATATTTATGACCTGGATTGGTAGAGAAGCATTTATCTCTGAGAAAAAAAGCCAGTATTAAATTGGACAAGTGGTATCCTGGCAAAGTAAACACTATAATTAGTTTTAAAGGTCTCCATTGCAGACGCCAAGCCGATCTCCATAAAATACATATTGCATTCTACATTAAAATATGATGATCTTTGTAATGAAACATCCTATGTTATAAAAAGTTTAGTAAATAATGTAGTTTAACTATTGATTAGGATACTATTTAAGACACAATACTGAATGCTCAACCAATTCTTAAGAAAAGTAGAAAATAAAGAATTCTTACCAAATTTGCAATGATATAGTGGTAGCCTTTAACATGTTTCCCGACACTCACAATCTGTGAAGATATAAGAAAATAAGAGACAATCAATTTAACTTTACTGAAACATTGTTTAAAATATATTAAAAGAGTGCATAAAGTTGGGAAGGAGAGTGATAGGGGTAAGCAGGAGGAGTTGATGGGAGAAGTGGGGATGGATTTGATCACCATCTGTCACACTCATGTATGAAGTTCTCCAGAAAGAAAACAATTTAATTAGGGCTGGAGAGATGGCTCAGGGGGCACAGGTATCTTCCACCCAGACTGAAGACCCGAGTTTGCTCCCTGGGACCCACATGATGAAAGGAGAGGACCACCTCCTGCAAACTGTCCTCTGAACTCCATGCACACATACACATATACAAAATAAATGAAAAACATTGATTATCTATTGCAGCAGAGTTTCACATGGAACTGTGACGGGAAAACAATATCGTTTACCTGATAAAAGTGACACATTACAGAAAAATTAAAATCCTCATTAAAATACATAGTCAAAGCAAAAATACCATTTCATTTCTTTATGCTTTCTTAATTACCAATGATTTTTCCATACCTTGTTAGAAAAATCTGTATAATTTCTACAAAAAGAATAAGAGAGCCATAAACCAACTGTTTATATATATTTATTTATCCAGAGAATACATTAGTATAGAAACTTAAAATAATTAAAGAATCAAAATGTACACAAATTGTTGACAATACACAGAAGTGCATTAGAAAATGTTGGATATCTTCAATAGGCAGAAATGATCATCATGATAACAGATGATGAGACATAATCTCTGTCAGTCAGACAAATTCAAATGAGCAAAGAAGAAAGTGGGTAAGCAAGATATGAAGATGAAGGGCAACTATTGGGCTGAGGAGGGGAGAAACACCCCAGGAAGGTATGGGTTTCAGTGCTTGTGCTTGGAAGTGTATACGAATTCAAATGAGCAAAGAAGAAAGTGGGTAAGCAAGATATGAAGATGAAGGCAACTATTGGGCTGAGGAGGGGAGAAACACCCCAGGAAGGTGTGGGTTTCAGTGCTTGTGCTTGGAAGTGTATATGAGCTCTTACCTAGAGCTCTTAAGATGTATCCCTAAAGTACTTTATACCAGAGTTTCAAACTTTTTTTTCTCTTGACCTTTTCTCCTGAGAAATGTTTGTGTCATTTCTCTCTCTCTCTCTCTCTCTCTCTCTCTCTCTCTCTCTCTCTCTCTCGCATATGTAGGCATATTTTCTAATGGTAAATCATAAATAGGGACTAAAGAGTTGTTCAGTTGATAAAGTGCCTGTCACACAAGCATGATGACCAGAGACTACATCTCCAGCACCCAGGTAAAAGTTAAAAGAAGTTGCATGTATCTGTTACCTTAGCTCTGGGGGTGGGGATGAGAGACAGGGCAGTCAATATAGTCAAATCAGTGTGCTCCACGTTCAGTGAAAGATCCTATCTCAACGAATAAGATCCTATCTCAAAGAATAAGATGAGGAAGGTGCCTGACATTTACCTCTGGCCTCACATGCACATGCACTGGAGTACACTACTTCAACCTTTACATATAGTATACACAAACAAATCATGAATTATCTTTAAACAATTCTTCACTATACATGCAACTTTATCATTAATGCAGACTAATGAGATGGATGTTTTTCTATTTTTACATCAATAATTAAACTCTGGCTGAATATTTGATGCTGCATCTTCAACATTTTTTGGAGTTGATCAATATTTTGACGTTATATTCATCAGTGATGAGAATGTCACATCACATAAATGTGCGGCACAAAATGGCAGAAGCATGTTGTGGATCATTTCAGAAGTTGTTGGAGATCCTGCCCTCATCTCAAGCAGAAATTCATATACAATTTTTTAAGGGAAGTCAAGCCAACATCCCAAACAACATTTTTTTAATTAAAATTTCTAATATGTCTGATACTCGAATACTTAATTTCCATCAACTCATGGATACAGCAAAGTTTTTGTAAGAAGAATAAAGAAAAAAAATCAAAGTCTTCACTCTCTGTTAGAAAAACTTTTCCCCAAGAGAATCCTTTGAAAACTAGAAACCTAAAAATTTTGACTGAGGGGAAGTAATACTGAGTTTTAAAAAGTTGAATCCATTCAACAGAATAAATGCTAATTGCAGGAATTAACAAGCAGAAACCTCAATGGTGTCCTCAAAAGTAACACCACAAGAATTTCACGCACTTTAACCTTCAGAAAAGTATTAATTGTTTTTAATATCTAATGTCCTCATATTTGAGTGACGTGTATGAAATGGAGCAAAACACTTTAGAAACCAGAGCATGTGAATTGTTCTGGAAAGCAGAAACTTTTCATACATGGGTATTGCTGAAATGGAACTTCTGCTGATCTTATCATTATAATTTCATGGAAGTCTGTCTTTGACTTTAATGTTCTACAGTTTCGTTCCAGTCAGCTCAGGGTTTTAGATTTGTATTTGCATTGACATTTTCAGGTTTGTATACCTCCTGATTCTTAGGACTGACCTTCAATTCTGAGAAATTTTCAGGCAATATTTCTTAAGCTACTCCCCCAAAGATGGTGTGCATTTACCTGTGACTACTTTTATGAATTTTTCTCAGAATTTAGATTCCCAGGTCACTGCATATGGTAAAAATTCAAAATTTGGTCTGCTTGAAGAAGAAGGCTGTGATAATTCCTAGGAAGATATTTATCTGCTAAGCCCAGCCCAACACTCAATGGATGCCCGGAACACAGGGCACATACTTTTCTACAGTACTCTGTTGTTGACAGTGGTCTGGGTTTACATAGGATCTGAGTTCTAATGTGTTGCTTTGCCTGATCCCAGAGCTCCTTTTTCTGGGTGAGTATTAAATCCCCCGGCCAGGTCACCCCATCCTTCAGTTCCTTTATCACAGCTGCTTTCTGTTCTAGCTCATGGATTTTCTTCACATTCCTAAAAGTTCACCTACATATTTATGATGTTTTACACAAGATTTTACATTTTTAAAGCTATTCAATGTATCTAGTTTATGCTTTATCCAAAAATAAAGCCCCCCCCCCCCCGAAAAAGTTTACCACAAAGATGAAGGCAATAAATAGAATTATAAAGAACATTCAGTTAGGAAATGTTTAATGAGTTGTTATATTGGGTATAACTTGAGTGACTAAACATGGGTCAATGAAAATGACATCATTTAATCTTCTGGGAACATTGGGTCTAGCCTGTGAGAAAGGCATCATTAGGGAACACTTGGTAATAGGTACTCAGATGAGAACCTGCATGCTCTAGAACCAAATCTGCTTCAGACGCCTGCCACTTGGCCTCTCTGAGCTTCGCGGCCAGTCAACAGTCCATTTCGTATCTTCTTCTGATTACTATGCTTTTCTCTGCTGGGCAGTCCCTTTTAGCCCCGTGCTACCTCAGCTTCTGCTTTCTTATACACTCAGTTAATGGTTTCTGTGCATCTACAGACAGAAATCCAGAAATATTCATTTTAAGCCACAAAAAACAGCAAATGTTAAAGGTATTTGGAACCAGTGGAAACCTGGTCCTGGACTGTTCCATAAGAAATCAATTAATTCTAGATTGTTTGGAAAGGATCATAACCAGTTAAGCCTATGCAGTGCATGTTCGAAGGTTGAAGACTCTTGACATCACAAGAAATAGAAACAGTGAAAAATCCTGGAAGGAAGAAACTTGCAGAGTGTGGTGAGCATGAACACTCTGGGAACGGAAGGCCCGGGAGAGCACGTGTCTAGAATCCTCACTTGCCTAGAGATGCTGAAGGGATCCCCATCTTTGTTGAGCCAGGTTCTATGTGTGACTGCAGCACAAACAGTTGGAAAGTTTCGCTGTCTTTGAATCACACAGATCTACATAGTTCCCCTCTCTGGGGTGGCCAGGGTTTAAGTCCAGACCTTAGATTTCTGGAAACAGTGTACCCTAGGTGGAACTTTCTTTGCAAAAATGTTTTAATTTACATTGAATAATGCCCTATAGAGAGAGTGCTATGTAGCTTTTAAATTTTATTTTGTGAAATGATTGTTTGAAATAGTGTTGAATTTGGGGTTTTACATGTTTATCATGTATAATGAAGTGGAGAATATCTTAAGTAAAAATTAAGTCTGAGTGAATTCATCCTGTCTACATATCAGACTCTGTACTGAACGTTGTTATTATTATAAGTAGAGAAACAGTTTCAGATGAAAGCTATGAATCTACAATGATTCTAATTTCCTCAAGGGTGGTTGATTAGGCTGTTAGGGGAAAATGAAATCTAGGGTGGGGACTTGGCTGTAAAAATAATTACTGTCTTTCAGAAGGACAAGGAAATGTAGTGGTAAGGAAGGAGGGCCCTTTTAAAGGAAATAAGCAATAGGACAGGATGAAAAACAATGTCCAAGTATCTGTTTATAGCTCTGAACAGGTTAGGAAGGAAACACTAGTATTGATCATCACTTTGAAACTCTATGTTAATAAGAATAAATATTTAAGAGACATGAGGAATTGAATCATTTAATTGCTTTTCCTTGCTTCTATTTCAGGAAACAACATTTATTTAGAAAGATCTATGGTGCTGGTCCAATAATTCGGTTATAAAATCAGGGATATGCATATTAATAAGTAAACATCAGGTGTAAACATTGTGATTCTTTCATTAATAAATTATAGTATAATAAATTGTCATGATTAGAACTTCTAAATTTTCTTCTACCCTCTAAATTCTTATCTCCAGTCCCATAGATTAGATCATAGCCAATCTCAGACTTCATCTGAGAAGTTTCTTTGCACAGTGGATGGCAGTTAATATAGAAATTTACAATTGTTAAAAGTGAAGAGAATAAATGTCTGTGAGTTTCTCAGCCTCAATGGCACAAATAGCACATCTGTCTCACACCCTCTCCCTTGAAGGCTCAGGGACCATCACAGAAGAGGGGTTGGAAAGATTGTAGGAGCTGGAGGTTGGGGAAGGCCAGAGCAAACCGTCTTCTGGACATGACGGGACCACTGTACTCATGCAGTCAGGCAGCTGTGCC